GTGTGTGTGTGTGTGTGTGTGTGTGTGTGTGTGTGTGTGTGTGTGTGTGTGTGTGTGTGTGTGTGTGTGTGTGTGTGTGGCCGAGTGGATGCCGGCGGCGCATGGTGGGGGGGCGAGTGGGGCGGGTGCGTGGGGACGAGGCACGCACAAGCGCAGCGCAAGTAGGGGCACGCACCCACGTGTGGCCTCGCTCCTTTGCACCACCAACCCCAGGTTGTTGCCTCGCCCCCCTCACATACCAAACAACAGGGTATTGCGGAGATGTTCCTGTCAGAGGCCCCCAAAGCTGACGTCATCAAGCTGCTGGACCGCAAGGGCTTCGTCAGAGTGGCTGTGGAGGCTGGGGCGCCGCTCGTGGCAATTTACGTGAGCTCGGCGGTCACGGGGCGGTCAAGGGAGGGTTTGCTCGCCGGCGTTGGCCGCGCGGCCGCTTTGCGCACGTGCTGCTGCTGCTGCTGCTGCTGCTGCTGCTGCTGCTGCTGCTGCTGCTGCTGCTGCTGCTGCTGCTGCTGCTGCTGCTGCTGCTGCTGCTGCTGCTGCTGCTGCTGCTCTCGGGCGCGCCGCTCCTGCGTGGCATGAGCCTGTTGCATAGCCCTTTGCTTGCTACAGCCGGCAACGTTCACATAAAATGCTTGTGATTTCATGCAGCCCGTCGTTGCCGGCGCGCTCGCTGCCGCACACGCCCTCCGCCGTCCCGCAGCACTTTGGCGCGTGGGACCTGTGCCGCTGGGTGGCGCCGCGCTCCTGGCAGGTGCGCCGCGGACGCGCCCGCTGGGGGAGGCTGTTGAGGGTGGCTCCCTGGCTTCCGCCTCGGCCCTTTTCTCAAGTTTCTGAACACGCTTCGAGGGTCCCCAGCGAGAGCCCGTAATTCTATTGTCGCAGCTACCTTCTGACTGATTTGTAAAGGGCTGGCGCATGGCCCTGCGCTGCCAACCCTTCTGCCAGGCTTTTGGCATGCTCTCCCTGCCTTACAGCCCCCCCCACCCCCGGCGGCCAATCACTTGCGCTGCAGCCACACCCCCGCAAACTTGACGCCTGCAAAATAACCAGCCGTGGCATACCTCTGCCTGCTGCGAGCAGTGCTCACAGCCGCAATTACCTCCTGAGTTTCACCCATGCATTTCACCGCACGTTCTTCGCACTACTTGCACCAGGCCCTGTCGCGGAGGTGGCGCGTGTCCATGGGCTTCATCATCGGCCGCTACGGCCTGCCCCTGCCGCACAGGCGCGCGTGCAGTGGCGCGCCTACCTTGCCTGCTGGGCCGTTCTTTTGGTGCTTTGAGTCCTTCAGGGTGCTTAAAGCGCGCCTCATGGAGCTGCCAGAGATGGTTTGCTCGCGCCTGGCCAACGAAGCCAGACCGGCTATTGTCTGGTACACAGGCTTGTTGAATTGACTGCAAGTGACGAGGTCGCGCAGGCAGGCCCAGCCAACCGCACCCCATCTGCCTGCACTCGAGCGTTCCTGCGTGCCAGAGCGCGTGCGCACGCACGCCCGCACGCATGCCTGCATACACATGCGCGGCCGCCGGCTGCGCCTAGGGCAGGAAGGTGCCCGAGGAGCACTGCTGAGCTGGAGCAGCCCTCGGGGTGAGGTGTCACTGTCACCCTGTCCTTATGATCATATATGTATTGGTTAACATGAACATATGCCCTGCATGTCCCCACCCAGGGTCCCCCTGTTCATGTGCGTCGGCAAGCCCATCCCCGTGCCCAAGCTGTCCCCTTCGGACCCTGGCTTCAAAGACGCGGTGAGCTCACCGCGTCTTTACGATGCCGCCTGCGATGCCGCCGCCTCCGACGGCCCGCACGCACGCGCGAAACGCGGCAGCGGCAGCGGCCAGTGGGCGCTGGGCTCGCTGCCCGCAGCAGTCATTTCTGCATGGCAGCTGCCCACCATTGCGTCAAGAGTGGGTGGGAGCGGCGGCCGTTTGACTGAAGTGATGTTGCGCGGGTGCTGGCTGCCAGGGCAGCGGCAGGGTGGTGCTCGTTTGCTCGGCTCGTCATACAAACTCATCAATGTGCGCACGTCTACTGTATGCACCCCTCTTTTGAAATACCAATTCTCGTCTCCTTGGCACGAAACACGTAACTCAATCTTTGGCGCTCAATCAGCGAGTTGCAGCCACCCTCTGCATGACTCAACCCTCCAATCAGCCACCATGTCACCTGCACACCCTCGCACCCATCGACTCAGCCGTCAACCCACCCGCACATCGACCACGCAATCGACCAATTGACAAATTCACTATGGATTGACCAGACGACCAATTGCTTGGCCGATAACCACTCTCGGTCCCTCCAAGGTCGACGAGGCGCACGCCAAGCTCGTGGAAGAGACGAGGCGCATCTTCGACAAATACAAGGCGATGTATCCCGGCTACGCGAACCGCACGCTTAAGATCGTGTGATAATTTGATTTCCCACCAGACTTGACCCAGCCCAGCGGCGGTGCGGCAGGAGCGCGCGGCGGCATAGGCGGCATGAAGCTGTGCGGGTGTGCTTGGCATGACTTGAGGGCCAGCGAGTCAGGCCTGCTTGTGTCATGGCTGCCATGTGCGGTCAGGGGCGCTGGGATCGACAGGAGGGACGGAGTGGGGTCAGGGGTGGAAGGGCAGCCCTCTGCCCATCTCGGCGGGGGAGCCGCCGCAGGAAAGGGCTGCCGTTGGCCCAGCCAGCAACTGGCAAGGGCGTGTGCGCCTGGTTTTGCATGCGGCATGTGCCAGCATTGTCTGCACCTTCAAGTAGCATGCATGCGTGCGTCAGACATTGCTCAACGTACACACGATGCTCTTTGACAGACACCTGGTGGCTCAACCAGTATGGCGGGGACACTCACTGCGACTCCGCAGCAACAACCGCTTCAGTGTCGCCAATTGAGCCCCACCGCAGCACCAAGCGGGCTGTGATGGCACGCAGTGCTTCCCATGAAACAGTACTGCTAGCCCAACGTGCTACATGACTGCTTGAAGCCTGCCCCTCTGAAATAGTCGGCTTCAGCTGCAAAACACACAACCGGCACTACATCACCTGGCCCTGAGACTGCCAGACCATCAAGGGTTCTCCAAGCCGCGGCTTTGAGCCACGGCCTGTCACCATTATATATGAGCCCCGTCCCCTGAGCAGGCATGGTTACAGATTGTACCGAGAAAGCGTTCAAGCAAAACTGGCATGATAAGCGCCCTGGATTGGGCGAGCAGGATGCTGCGTTTTGCAAAAAATTAAATGTGCATGCCAGAAGAGAACACGCCAGACGAGAGACACCCCTTCCCAACATCAATACAGCCGCCTCTCGCGTGCCGTCACACCGCGCATCGGTGTGAGTGCGTGCTGCCAGGCAAGCGCGCCAGCCAACTGATGGGGACTAGTCAGCAGAATTTTTTACTTACATGCCTCGAGGCTGCGGCCTCCTGACATGCGTGCTGGGATTGTTGGGGAGGCATCCTGCGGGACGGCGGTGGTGCGCCCGCCCTTGCCTTCTGCAGGGCGGTCGTCGGCGGCATCACGAAAAAGCACAGGGCGGCATGCGCCCTGCCAGAGCCAGCCGTGCGGTGCAATTTTTGGGCCTGCTGAGCAGGTGTCATCAGTGTCAACTTAAGTGCGGCATGGACACAATTCATGCTGCGGCGGCCGCTGCAATGCGGTGTATCGGCGGATCGTTCGCAAGGCGGCAAGTGCATGATGCGCATGCTGCGCTGGGCAGCACGCCTGCGCTCACACCGCGCATCTGGGGCGGGGCTGCGCCACACAACCACTGGTCAACACCTGGCGCAAACCCCTCGCAAGGTCACAACTTTTGCTGCGCATGTGGAGGCATCCACCGGGAGTGCTGCATGCCTGGAGGCCTGTGCTGACGATCGGAAGCGCGTGGCTCGATCCAATGACGGCCTGCCTGCCGAGACCCCCGTGCTGGACCCCGCCAGCCGGCGGCCGTCTCGAGCCCGTGCCGGAGCGTCCTGAGCCACGCATGTGGGGCCTGCGGCCCGCCCTGAGCGCCGCGAGCTGGCCGCTCAGATGCGGTTGAACACGGGGATGCAGTTGGCGGCGATGGCGGCCTTCGGCTTGCTCCTGTACACGACCACGTTAGCGGTGTCGACGGAGGCGTCGCCCAGCTGGCCGTTCAGGTCAAAGGTGTTCAGGGTCACCGTGATGGGCTGGGGGTTCTTCTGGAAGTTCTTCCTGTGATTTTGAAACAGGCAGATCCAGATGGAGCGTGGTCAGGATGGTGCCCGTGCGCAAGGGGCCGATGCAAGGCAGCCAGGGGCCGCGGTTGGACAAGGGCCCGTGCACCAGGCGCCGATGCAAGGGGGGCCAGGCGCAGATGCAAGAGGGCCTCAAATTTGTGCCGGTGGAGGGCGAGTTTGGGGGGCATTAGGGGCTCGGTGTCACAAAGCGCTTGGTGACCGGCATCTAGAACAACACCAGCAACGACGCTGCCGGGTCCTGTGGCCCTGCATGCCGCAAAACCAAGACATGTCGCCGCGTGTAGACACAGGTGCGCGGGTGAGGAAATCCCACAAATGTAAGAACTTGCCCTCTCCTCCCTCCCTTCCCCCTCTATCTCTGACTCAGTCCCCCACCCGTCCGTTACCACCAACGGATTGGTCACGCACACGCCGCCCATTCCCCGCCCATATCCTTCCCCGCTACAGCCTCAACATCCTCGTCCCCCATACATCTACATGCAGCCATACTCACTTGAGGATATCCACAGCCGTCGCCGGGATCGGACGCGTCGCGCTCCCAGCGGAGAACACCGGCAGGCACAGGCGCTTGGTCCTGCCCTTGTTCTTGAACTCGGGGGTGCAGGCAGTGGCGACCACCCTGATGTTCCTGCACTTGTTGCCAGCGGGCGTGGAAGCCAGGAGGGTGACGGGGATATCGATGTTGGTCAGCTTCGTGTCGTTGAGGTAGAAGCAGGTGTTGGTGGTGTTGAGAACGGGCGGGCCATACTTGGTGATGTCGGTCACTGTGATGGTGCACGCGTCGGACCGGGCGGTGCGGCCGTTGGGGTAGTTGACCTGATTTGACCGGTGTCGCGCAAGGGGGCAGGGGGAGGGCGCGTGAGGCGCGTCGCCAGGGTGTGATGAAGTCGACGCGGTGGACAGCACTGGGAAATTATTGGCGGGCTTGCCGCTGCACCAAACCTGCCTGCTGTGCTATCAACAGGGCCAGGCACCTCATGCCAGGTAAGATACGTGTGAGGCGAAGGTGCCAAATGGTTGCCTTGTGTCCCGACTGGCATCTGGTGTGGCGGCCCAGGCCAGGGCCCACGCAGCACAGCGCAGGGCTGTTCGCATACACTCCAAACAGCAGACAGGCCGCCCACGTAAATCCCACCTGCGCCTGCACACTGTAGGTGCCCTGAGGGTACGCCTGGGGCGCCGCGAGCAGCGTCCCGTTGACCGCTGTCAACAGAGCGGTCGTCGCCGTGGTGCCCAGGGAGCCAATGTCGAAGAAGCCGGTGGCCGAGGTGTCGAAGATGCTGGCGCCGATGCTGACAGTGCAAGCTGACGTGGCGGAAGTTGCGGTGACATTGACCTCAATGTCCTTGCAGACCTGTGGTTTCGAAGATTTCAGGGGTGGATGGCCATGAGGGAAGGTCGACAAAAAAAGGGGAAGCCGTGCAAAGCAGGAATGCGAAAGCAAGCTGATGGATGGGAACCTGGCATTGCTGGTTGCGAGCTGGCAGTTGAAGCAGCTAGCGGCTAGTCGGGACGCAGCAGGCCGGAGAGCAGGAAGCGGTGAGGGTGTGCAAGGTGCAGCCCTCTGCACTGGGTGCTGTATGGCAGGCCGGGCACTGTGCAGCCCATTTTCAACAGGCCCTCGAGCAATGCTGCAGGTGAGCTCGCACGCGATTGCACCAGTGCAAGCCGACGGGCGGCGCTTCTACCTCTGGCCTAAGTTGCCGAGGGCCATTGCCTCTTGGCCGCAGGCCAGTAATGTCGCATGCGTGCGTGGCGGCCTGGCGAGGCTGCCCTGAATTCAAACTGGGACGCTCTGCCCGGCCATGCCCCCTCCCCTACGTGTACAAAGCAGATGCAGAGGCCTGCAAGCACGCACCGGGGTGCAGGGAGTGATCTTGGCGGTCCCGGTGCAGGAGGACCTGTCGCTGCCAGTCACGGTGAAGTTGTAGTTGGTGCCTGCAATAGCAAAGTTGTTGGGATTGCAATTTCAGTGGAATTGCAATTTGCAATTTCAGTGGAATTGCAATTTGGTTCGACTCCCAATTTCATCAGGTTGAAGTTGCGTTGGGCTTGCAACCTTTCTGGACTTGGGGGGCACTCACACCCCGGTGAGCTCTCTGCAGGCTGCGTGAATGTGCAGGAGGCTTGCCATGTGCTCCAGTTGGGACAATGTCGACAAACGAATTAAAATCAGAACTGGACAGGCCAGGACAGGCTTGACTGGGGGCGGCGTCCACATGCGATGGGGCTGCAGTGCATTTGGAAACCCAGATTATGAGGCAATGCATGCGATACAGGGGCGAGGTGCCATCAAGAGGAGGGCGGCTTGCGCCAAGCGCAGCTCGTGGTTGGCCGGGCCGGAGCACCTCGCTCCTAGCCCACGCTCGTGCGCCGCGTACACGTTTTTTCACCGAGTGCGCGTGGGATTGAATGGATTCCGCGGCCGGCCTGCTGGCAAGAATGCAGGAGACGCACCAGCCAAGAAAACATAGTTCAGCTTGCCCCCCACGGGCGTGCTCGTGGGCTGGGGGCCGAAGAAAGTCGCGGTGGCGTTGGTCGTCCCATTGGTGGCGGTCCAAAGCGCATCCTGGCAGCGAGAATGTGGGGGGTGGGGATTGCAGGCGTCAATGCGGGTGTCATTGATGCAGGTGTCATCGACGCTGTGCACATGCGGCCTGAAGCGGTGGCGGGTAAGCAGGCCGGCGGCGACGGCTGTCCACCCGGCAGGCGAATGCCCGGGCGGCAACCACAGCCAAAGGTCAGAACGGCGGCACTGAGAGGCGGAAGTGATTGTCACACTCCACAATCCACACAAACCAAGGGAGCCTGAAGTCACCTGGCTGACGGTGGTGGAGATGCAGCCGCCGCCGGTACCCTGGGCAAGGGTGGCTGTGAACTGCTGGCAGACGAGGGCGGCGCGGGCGGGCAGCGCGCACGCGGCCAGCAGCACGGTAACGGCGAGCGCCGCGCGTCTCATTGCTTGTTCCATGAGTGGAAACAGCGATCTGCGCGGAGTCGCGTGGGGGGTCGCGGTCCTCAGGCCTCCGGAAAGTGACGGCTGAGATTGACTCGCAGCCCCTGTATCACCAACGGCCTTTAACATGCAAAACGGATCGCATGCGCCACTTTTGCATGCACTCCGGGTCCGGTCACCCGCCACCACCCCTGGTGGCCGCACGTACGTGAGGTCGTTGTGGCTGCTGAAGCGCTCTGTAATGCCAAACAAATTCCTAAATTGAAATTTTTGCAATGTGAAAGCAACACACCGGGGGTGGCTGTCTCAGATGCTCCTTGCGTTTGCAAACAATGATGCGAGTCGAATGATGCCAGCCGACGAATCGAAGTATGACTGGTGCACGCACCGTCCATCTGTGCAAAAATATTTTT